CTTCTAAAATCCTTAGAATTTCCCAAGTAATAGGAACCACAGATTTGGAGAAAACATTTGTAAAACACATAAAGGACCTGAATCAAAAATATACAAAAAAACTCTTAAAACTCAACAATAAGAAAATAAACAAACCAATTTTAAAATGAGCAAAAGACCTAAACAGACATCTGTTATGTAATAAAAAATTTGTCTGATCTTTGTCCCAGGTTTCTGTCACAGAGCTTCTAAAATCCTTAGAATTTCCCAAGTAATAGGAGTATCTTTGTTATTCATGAGCTCCTTGGAATTTCCCAGTTGATAGGAGTGTCTTTGTTATCCATGAGGTCTTTGTTATTCATGAGCTCCTAGGATCATACCTGAGTTTATGCTAATGAGGTAACTCAAGGTGGCACCACCCCTCCGCCCCCCACAGCTTCAGGATCAAGGCTGGACATGCCAGAAACCAACCAAATGATTAGAGGAGGGTTGGGGATTTGAGCCATGAGACATCAGTTCAACCTCTAGGGAGGGGAGGGGGCTGAAGATTGAGTTCAATTACATGCCAATGATTCAATCAATCATGCCTAACTAATGAGGCCCCAATAAAAACTCTGGACACTACAGCTCAGTGGAGCTTCCTGGTTGGTGAACACACTGATGTGCAGGGAGGGTGACATGCCCTAGTTTCACTGAAAGAGGACACAGAAGCTCTGTGTTCAAGATCTCTCAGACCTCTCCCTGTGTGTCTCTTCATTTAGCTAATCCTAATCTGAATCCTTTAAAATAACACTGTAATTGTGCTTTCCTGATCCATAAGTCTAGCCATTCTCAAAGAAGGTTCCAGAAACTGTTTTGCTGAAATACAGTGGGGCAGAAAAGATTATTGAACTTCCATTCCCTTGAAGCTTTGTACAATCTGTGGTAAATATGCTGGGAATGTTTGGAAGCCTTGATGCAGTGTCTGAGGAATGATCCTCTGAAAGAAAACCTATTTCCTTAGAAGGTCCAAGCCTGGATTATCTCAAAGGGAGCTCCATAAAGGCCGCTCACAACTGCACCTCTCTGGCTATTTTAGGGGCTTGAATCCAAAAACCTCCTTTTTTTACTTTCTGATGTCTTAAAGTGATAAATACAGATAAAAGAATATTTATAACCTTTCTCATATAGAGAGCTAAACTGTATTCTTGGTCTTCCTTCCCAATGGGTAACACTGTTAGCTACAAAATAAAATTAATTTCTATCTACCACTACCTTCTCCTTTACCTCTGTGGGCCTCTGTTCCTATAATGGTGAAGTGGCTTACCAAAGGTCTGATGGCAGGGCCAGGACTAGAACCCAGGTGCCTCTCAGTCCAGAACTCTTTCACCTACATCTTTATCAACAGTACAGTATGTAGAGAGATGGGGTAAAGAGGCAGCTATTAGGAAACATTTTTTTCCTTTCTCTGAATTTGTTTACCTTTCCTTAACACTCAAGAAGTATAATAACTACTAATTCATCATATTCAATAGTTAATTTTACTACCACCTGTGAAATCTTTTTCAAGTTATTTAACCTCTCTGAGCTTCAGTTTCCTCAACTGTAAATGAGGATAACATTAGATACTCCATAAGGTTGGTGTGAGGATTGAGACATGTTAAATAAAGTGCTGGGTATGTTGTATATATAATAGTAAACAGTAGCTGATTTTACTATCATTATCATATTGTCCAGGTGCCAAGGAAGATAAGTGAAATCATTCAAAACACTAAATTCTAGACAATATCATCAACAAATTCTACACTTAAACCTTGACTCCTAGCTTCTGGCAAGTAAAGTATTATCCAGGTAAGTTTTGCTTGCAAAGTTTCTTACCTTCCTTCAGTCTATCATCTCATCCAAACTCCCACACAAAATGTTATGACTTTTCTGCCACAAGGATTGACTGGCATCAAAATACAAAGTATACCATGTGCTAGGGTTAAAAAATTTCACTTGGAACTAGCAGAAAACTGAGAATGTTGCCCACTCCCTAACTATAGTAGTGTACATGTAGTCTTAGAACTCAGTACCACATTTATACTCATTTAGCATCCTAACACCAAGGAGTATAACATTTGCTACTAATAATTATTAAATGGGCATAGTTGTTGATTATTCCTCTCCTTTTCCCCTAATAAAGGCCTCTGAAGTACGTTTTCAAAGTGTAGGTCTTACAGCAGCAGCAGTTCATAGCCAGTTTAAAGCTGACCACCACAGAAAGAAATGATAGGCCAGCCTGCGTAATCCAGAGAGGTCCTGACCCAGGAAGAGGCAGAAGCTACGTCTGTTGTCTCTGGATGGGAGCTGATAAAGTCGGAGTGTATATTTTTGTATACTGATCCCATTCTATGGGTTCTGTTCTACCTTACTCTGTTCTTCTCTTAACATGTCTTCTAATCCTTTATTTAGCTAGTAGAGTCATCTACTAGGAATGAAACAATCATCTGAAAAAAGATACTTAAGGATCTCTGGCAACTCATTTGAACCAGCAATTGAAAACAAGCGTGACTTTTATGGAGGCAATTTTTCAACTCTCCTAAGAAATATGTGCATACCCACCCTGCAACAATACCCAATATGTTTCATCATAAAATAATGATAAAACACCAGAACTAATCACAGAATATAGATAAGATTTCGGGGTACTTTTTAGAAGAGATCAAACGCTGTGGGAGTATTCACTTCATTTTTCACATTTAGATTACTATGTACTGCTCTATTCCCATTTGCTATCGCTAAAGAAACAGAAATACTTGATTATGATTTAATGTTACAAAATATTATACCTTACTACAGTACACATTCATACAGTAAATTATGACCATGCCAGAGAGGAAATGAATGCATATGTTTTTTTGTTAGCTTACGTGAGTTCCTGGAGGGCTTGTTTTGATCTCTGCAGATCTGGCAAATAATGAGAAAGCAATCCTTCTGCCAGTTGCTCCACAGCTTTGTCTTCTACAGTCAAGTCCTCTATTAACCCTTCATCTGGAGAAGTGTCACTTAAACCTGTTCCCAAGCAAAAATCAGAATTAGGAAGCTTTTAAATTGACATAGGTACTAAAAGGAGGTTGGGAGTGGTAGGTAGGAAGGAGGCCCACAGTGGGGTGCAGAGCACACACACCCACTCTCCCAACTACAGGTATCCTTTTCTTTTACCTTCTGAGCTTCCTCTAAAAAATGGGTTATGAGTGCTCAAAAAAATGTTTTTAAGCTACTTTAACGTATATAAAATTCTGTATGTTTATGTATTTTTCAGGGCAAAGGATTTATTGTTTTCAATGGATTACTAAAGGAGTCTCAGGCTGAAAAGTGGATAATAGTCACTGAACTAAAGCATTCTCGCTTTCAAAAGCATGCAGAAATTATATAAACAAAAATGTAATGCCTAAAAATATGTTTTCATTTCTATGGAAACAAAAATATAGGTCAACATTTATTTTGCATAGAGCCTGATATATTATTTACACATAAAAGGGGATTTTATTATTAATAATTGTTAGGGAGGAGAAGAAAGAGTTTCTTAAGATTCAGCACCTTAATTTACCATAGAAAATAGTGTATAATAATTGCCTTGTGTGTAAAACTAGACCTGATGCCAGGTACAATGCCCCATCCTTTTCCTTTGAATAATAACAATGTAAGCACTATGCCAGGCATTCGAAAATGTCTAAGATGAATCCCCATCAATCACTATTCCTACAAAAAAAGTGAAAAACAATTTCTAAATAGGGTTCAAGTAATAGTTTGTAAGATTTTAGAATCATTGATCTAGAATGAGAAAAGAAAGTAAAGTGGTTACTTTACTAAAATTGTACTCTAAAATTATGATTAATATTAAACTCTGAAACATCTCTGTGCAATCATAGTCTGGTAACAATTGGTAACATCAAATGAGAACACATTTATTACAACACATTGCTTACAGCACATTTCTAGCTTTGGTTTTTGCCACAGATTTAAATTTTCACAAGATTGAGGAAAACAATATGCTCTCATACTCAAAATAAGCTCCTTAAAAAATCAAAATAAAATTGTTATGATTTTTGTTTTAACCCTGAGAAACAGATGAACAAACTCTGGACTTCCCAAAGTGGCAAGGCTACATTGAAACAAGTAATAGTTAACCAGAAAATGAAGCACTCCACACATAAAATAAAAATATAATGGGAAAAGTAGAGCACTTAAGTATATTATGCACTGATGTACCATCAGATGCGGAGTGAATAAATTATATCTGCCAACTAATGCCATGGCTTAAGGCTTGATTACAATAACAGCACAAACAGCAACTTTATTTAAGTAAATAAAACTAAGTATTACAGATAAACAGAAACACTCAAATAAGGATATTTCAACTTTAAGGAATAACAACTAATGCATTTCGCATATAATATATTACACATTTTAACTCACAGGCCCTCCTCCCCCTCCCCAATCTTCTGGTTAATTATTGGACGAGTCTCAGTACTCGTGTTTTCATATATCTTTAGTTACTAAGTTCAAATATTTTATTACGGGAGATTAAAGAAGAAGAAAGGGTCCTTCCCCTATTCGTACAAGAAACATTTGCTGAACGTCTATATTACTAGGGTCTGAAGTTACAACATTAAATAAGGCAAGTTCCCCTCCTTGAAAGAGCACAATACAGGGGAATCGTAGAATATGAGAAGTGCCATTAGAGAAACAGACACCGTTATGAAAATTCAGGGAGAGAGATGACTTTCACCAGGGATATCTAGAAACAATTACTAAAGGAAGTATGGCAACTCTACAGAGGAAGGCACAAACTAAAAAGTAAAAATACTCCTTCTTACCCCCTGACTCCAGCAGGAGTCACTCTCGAGTTTCTTACAGAGCCTTGCAGAAAGTGCCTACAAATTTACACATACATTGCCTTTATCACAAATGAAATATTACTCATACCATTCTTCAACTTTTTAAATACATACCTTAGATATCTTTCTATATCAACATATATAGATCTACATTTTCTTTTTTTAAATAAATTTGTTTAATTCTCAAACTTGTCCACATTGAACATTCTTTTTAACAGAATGGAACTTGACCATTGTTGGAATAGAATTCGAACAGTCCCCTATAGACAGGTTATTTAGGTTATTTTCACTTTTTGCTATTCAAACAATACTGCAGTGAGCTTCCTTGCCTGTCTTTGCATATTTGTGTTACTGTTTCTGTAGGATAAATTCTTAGAAGTAGACTGTTGGGAGAAAGTGTTTATGCATTTTTAAACAGATGTTGCAAAACTGCTCCCGTAAAAGATGGCACCAATTTACATTCCCACAAACAATCTGTGAGGACTCTTTTGAAATGGGGATGAAAACTATGACAGGAGAGGAAGGGATATGATATAAGTAAAGGAAGCAGCATGAAGCAAGGTGGGCATACAGTATAGGATTGCTCTAGAAGGGGGAGGTGTCTGGAGCATGGGATGTATGTATAATAGCATAGCAATAGTGAGCTGTAAGACCATGTGGCCAGCCTGTGAGGGCCTTTGAGTACCAAGTTAATGGGTTTGGATCTTTGTTAGTAAGTAGTGAGGAGTCATTTAAGGTTTCTAAGCACAGGAAAATGACAAGACTGGAGCTTCATCTTGGGGCAGTGATGTGACAGCAGTGGGACAGATGCGTTGGAAGAATAAGAGACTGGAAGTGGGCTAGCCTTACAACTGCTGTTTTAAGGGTGAAATTACAAAGAGGAGATGGAAAGCGTCTAGTAGAATCCCCTAGACTAAACAGAGGTGGAAGAAAAGAGAAAGGAAAGAGACCAGAGTGATTTCTAAGTTTCAAGTCAGAGTGACTTGGCACCATTAACAGGATCAGACATCTGTTTTTATTTATGTACATGCTGTATGTGAGATTAGTGCAAAACAACCCTGTCAAAATATCCAGAAAGCAGACGGAGGAGCAAGCAAGAGTTAGGAGAAGGACCCAAGCTGCAAATATATACAAGGCAGTCATATTTACAGAACTGACTCACAAAGGTGTGAAGAGACCATTGAGGAAAAGCATGACCAGGAAAGTGCTGAGAGCACTATTTTGGGGTAACCCCCGTATTTCTGAAACAGTAGGTAAAAGAAAAGGCAGATCCAAAGCCCTGAAGCCTTTCTCCTCTAGGGTTCCTCATTAGAACCACAGGACACAGAAAATACTCGAGTGACTATTTTATCAATTCTCTCAAGGATGGTCATAAGTAGTAACGTTCTGGGCCGGGCGCGGTGGCTCACGCCTGTAATCCTAGCACTCTGGGGGGGCCGAGGCGGGAGGATTGCCTGAGCTCAGGAGTTCGAGACCAGCCTGAGCAAGAGCGAGAGCCTGTCTCTACTACAAATAGAAAGAAATTACCCAAACAACTAAAAATAGAAGAAAAAAAAAATTAGCCGGGCGCGGTGGCGCGTGCCTGTAGTCCCAGCTACCCGGGAGGCTGAGGCAGGAGGATCGCTTGAGCCCAGGAGTTTGAGGTTGCTGTCAGCTAGGATACGCCACGGCACTCTAGCCCAGGCAACAGAGTGAGACTCTGTCTCAAAAAAAATAAAATAAAATAAGTAGTAACTTTCTGGATGCACAGCAAGTTCATTCATTCCATTCAATAGGTGCCTTAGGGCTTAAATCGCTCCTGGACTTGGGTTGAGAAAGACTGAAGAAATAGCGATGAATTAATGTCACCAATGTCACAGAGCATTTCATGAGTAAGTGGTCAATACCGCATACATCACTTCTCTGAATTATAAACTGATCCTCTTTCTGGTGAATTCATCCCCAGGCAGGGGGGCCGGCGCAGTCCCCTACTTCCGCGCGAGGCCACTCACTGGGCCGCAGCTGCCGCAAGCGGCGAACTCCCGCGGGGTGGCTCCGGAGTCCCACCCACTCAAGTCCTGGCCCCCCGTACCCAGCCCCGGCCGCCTGTCCAGCCAGACAGCACATACCCGGTGTCGGCTCCCCGGCCTCCAGACTATTGGGTGGCCTTGTGAGGACCCCATCCGGGGACGGCGGCCCAGGGACACTCATATCCCTCCGGTTGGGAACAGGGAAAAGACGATCGTTTGGACAGTCTGATGCAAGAAGGAGGAACCCAATACCTCCAGCGCCCCGCCGGACCGAAGCGGCGGTCACACCCGGAAGTGACGGAGGCGGAAAACGGCAGACTCGGACCACGTGACCAAGGGTTGGCTCGCCCCTTTAGTGCCGCTGGGGTCCCGCGCTGACGTCATGATCAAGTTTCTGCCGCATCGCTAGACTCAGCTGTGCGGGGCTCGGGTCCCAGGGGCCCGATTGGCAGGAGCAAGGGCGAGGGCGAGGGCGGTGGTGAGTTTGGGCTGTGGGTCTCCAAGACTGAAAAAGCGTTGTCTTTTGTTGTGCGCGGGCGAACAGTCAGGATCTGTCCACTGGGACTAGGTAGAAAACGCGATTTCAGCTTTTTGGTGTTGCCTCGGTGTTAAGGGAGAACCTTAAGAACGGAGACTACGCTTTCCCTGCGATTTGGACCATTAAAAATCTCGGTGTCTAGCTCTCTGTGAGACTCAGTCTCGTTAATTGGGCCTTTGCCACGATTATGTTCTCCCCTTGTTAATTGTACATGAATGGATGATTTAAAGTTTCCGTTGTAATCTACCGAACAAATTCAGCCAAATTACCGGGAGCTGCGCTTGCTGAGATCCTGTGGGATGATGTCATGAGTTTTGATGAAAAACACTTAGAAATGGACAGAGACAGCCTCAGACCAAATAAAACCATCAGCTATGCCTTCTCTACCTTAGACCCTCTCACGATGTAGTGGTGGCCTCTTAATGTTGCTCCCTGATTTCGGCTATTCACTTTTCTATGCTACAGTCAAAGCTGTCTTCAAAAAAATGAAAATTTATATTAAGCCTCCCAAACTTGTACCAGCTCCCCATTGCCCTTATCAATGCATTCACACCCCTTTCTCTTTTGGCCCCTCAAGATAAACAATTCCTTACTACTGTGAACTAAAATAAAATCTTAAGGCTCCTCCCTGCCACTGACTGAATGGACCCCCTTCTGGCCAAGAGGATACCCTAAAATTGAATTGCCTGCCATGAGGAGGGAGGTCAGACATACCTCATCATGCCCCACTCCTTCTTGGAGATACCCTTGGTAACTCATTAACAGGCCTAAGGCTATTCAAGACAAACCTGCGGGTCCTCGATTTACACAATAAATATATGCCTGGTAGCTTGTCTCTGTTTAACAGACTTACCTGAAAACATTCCAAGCCTTTAGACAAAAGCTTCATGTTTTAACCAATTACAAGTCAAAGAGTCTTTAAACCCCCCTATAACCTGTAAGCCCCCCACTTCACGATGGCCCACCTTTTCCAGCCAAACCAATGTATGCTTTCCATTATTGATTTATGATTTTACCTGTAATCCCTGTCTCCCTGAAATGTATACAACCAAACTGTAATGGAACCACAGCAAGTCCACCTGCTCAAGGTTTCTTGGGTGTGGCTTTGGGTCATGTCCTCAAATATGGCTCAGAATAAACCTCTTTAAATTATTTTACAGAGTTCGGCTTCTTTTCTGTTGACACTACCTGTGGTAGGCAGAATAATGGCCCATCAAAGATGTCAGCAGCCTAAATACCTGGAACCTGTGATTATGTTAAGTGGCATAGCAAAGGGGAATTAAGGTTGCTAATTAGCTGATATTAAAATAGATTATCCTAGATTATTGCATTGAGCCCAATGTAACCACAGGGGCTTTTAAAACTGGAAGTAGGCAAAAGAAAGTCAAGAGGGAGGTATGACTATGAAGAATGACTGGACAGATGCAACATTGCTGGCTTTGAAGAAAAGAGGAAGGGAGCCCCCAACCAGCCTTGTGGGTGACCTCTGGGAAGCTGGAAACAGCAAGAAAACTGATCCCCCCCTTCCCCCCCACATCCTTTCTAATGGAACTCAGTCCTACCTACACCTTGATTTTATCCCCGAGACCTGTGTTGAACTTCTGACCTATAGAACTGTAAGATAATAAATTTGTGTTGTTTTAAGTTTGTGGTAATTTGTTACCACAGCAATAGGAAAGTAATGCACAATCCTTCGAACATCTTTTATTTCATCTGAGCGTTCTCCTAAAACTATGCCCTTTCATGTCTTCAGTGCTGTTGTTCATGCTTCAGCTTGGAATAGTCTATTCTTTTCAAAGTCCTACTCATCTTTCAAGGCTCGGCCTAAAGAATACCTTTACTTTAAAATCATTCATGATCCCACTTCTTCATTCAGAAGTTACAGTAATAACCTTTTCTCAACTACAAAGCATCCTCCTGCTATTCAGCACTTAATCTATTCTTGTATTTGTTATTTTCCTTGTCTTTCTCTATTAGATTGCAAACTCCAAACAGAAACTTTTATTCAGAGAGGACGATAATAGGTTCTCAGTAAATACTGGGTGAATGAATTAAGTATTGATTCTCTAGCCCCCAATTCCAATATGTATAATCTCCAAAGTCTGAATCACACAATACGGCACCTGATAAACTGCCTGGTAACCTTGTAACCACAGGACCAGCTCAAACTGATTAACCATTACTTAAGTTGTTACACATGGGGCAGAGCCAAAATCGCAAGTCATGTTGCCCAGGCCTGCACAGTAGGAAAAAGCTTTAACCTCCTAATTGTTAATACCATCAGCCTGGCAAACCAGCTGCATTTTCATCACCTGGGACTAGTTAGAAATGCCATAAAAGCTTGACCCACCCCCAGATGAGGGAGACAGATTTGAGTGTTGCTTCCTGTCTCCTCATCAGTCAACTTACAATAAAGCTTTTCCTTTTTTCAAAATCTAGTGCCATAGTATTGGCTTCTATGCATGTCGGGCATTGAGCCTGTTGCTTGGTAACCACCTTATTTGGTTGTTAGTGTTATCTCCCAACTAGGGTAGTAAGACTCTTTAGAATAGACCCACATCCTGTGGGTTGTCTTTACTTCTTTATTTCTTAGCACGGTATTAAGCATATTACATGAATTTTAAAATACTGGTTCCTCAAATTTGATGAATGAAATTAAACTGTTACACCCTGCCTATTTTTATCATCTCCGTTTTGCTTTAAGGAAAAATTCATGTTAGAAATTTGATGTTCTGTTTCAGCATTAACTTAATGTGACAAAAACTAATCAGCTAAATAGACAGGAGGACTTTCTACCAGACCCATCTTGCTTTTATCTTTATCTTTTTTCTTCTTACGCCCACAGATTTCAGCTCAATGCATCAAGTGCTTGTTGAGTACCCTCTGTGTTCTAGTCTCCATTACATGGCTACTTTGCGCCTAACATCACACTGTATGTGACAGAGCTCAAAAACAAGATGTTGGAATTTGATTGCAAGGAAGTAAACACAATTTGTTGAGTTTTATGTCTTTCAAAATGCCTTTCATCTCCCCTACTCCCTTTTATGCACCAAAGTTATAATCCACTCCAAACATCTGAATACCTAGGACAGAACTAGGCACTGTAGGGGGTAAAAAAAATCCTGATTCCTGTTCACCAAGAATGTATATTCTACCATTTATATATAGTAGAATCAGTGAACATGCCAATAAAGTGCTAAATTATATGGAACAGACGTAGAGGAACATAAAGGACATGATGCCATATTTCCTGTGGCTACTATAACAAATTACTACAAACCCAGTAGCTTAAAACAACACAATCTTATTATCTAAATAAAATCCTGGATCTTAGAAGTCTGAAATTAGGCTCAGTCAGCTATAATCAGGGTGTCAGCAAAGCTGCTTACTTGTGGAGATTCTAGGGAGGAATCTGCTTCCCAAGAATTTGCCTTTCCTAGCTTGCAGAGGTTGCAGCTTTCCTTAGCTCATGGCCCCACATCACGTGGCCTTTTCTCCCCCTGCTGCCATTGTCACATCACCTCCCCTCCCACTCTGATCCTCCTGCCTTCCTTATATAAGAAGCCATGTGATTACATTAAACCCCCCTGCATAATCCAGGATAATCTCCCCATCTCAAGGTCCTTAATTTAATCACATCTGCAAAGTTTCTTTTGCCATGTAAAGTAGCATTCATTGATTCCAAGGACTTGAACATGGACATCTTTGGGCGCTGCCATTATTCAACCTATCTCAGATATGCAGTTGTGTGGTGCACAATTAGGAAGTAACTATACAAAGTTTTAAAACTTAAAACTTAAAAGAGGAAATGGGACTTAGGCCATACCTTGAAGGGCAGGTAAAACGTAATCTGCAAGAGTAAAACTACTAAAGTCTTCCACAGGAAAAAACACTGTGAGTAGCAAAAATATATTTCAGATTCAAGGGCGTCAGGCACTAACTGTCCTGAGTAACACAGATTAAATGGTTAGTAGAAGAATCTAACGGAGAAAGGTATTGCATAGTCTGTTAGACTAAAAGAATTTAAGAAGACAAAAGATAACACAGAATGCAGTCATATAGTTGTAATAAGTTAGTTCAAAGAAATTCTATCTAGAAAGAGTTAAACATTGCGTGTGTGTGTGTGTATATATATATATATATATTCATAGCAAAAAGAATGCCATTCAATTTTGAGAACTTTGAAATCTGAAAGAGGAAGAGCAAATATAATGTAATAAATACATCAAAACTGCTATTCCACCTTTCATTTTTGCTGTTTTCTTTAAATTTTCCTATATCCTTTATTTTTTCTAGCCTAATGGAAGAAGGTAGGTAAGAGGTTGTAAAGAAAAAAGCATTATTCCATGAATATTTCCTATTCCCTTTATGGATCAGATGTCCTATATTTAGAATGTGCTAAGATTTGGTAAAAAAATCTACTCTCTTTGACCTACTTCTCTCACAGGCATTCATTTCTACCCTCCCCTTTATCTCACTCTCTCCATCCTTTTCCAAAAAACAGAGAAAGAATTGAAAGGGGGACAAAATATTTGAGTGAGAAAAATGTAAGGACTAAGGATGCAGAGAAAAGGGATGGGAAAGAGGAACACACATAGGAGAAGGATGTTACAGCCCATGACCTTATGCTTCTAGTGGATTGACATATTGAAAATATGAACACATTCATATAGGGTGACACCCTTGCAAAATAAT